ATTTTGGTATTGTTAATCTACAATTACATGAAGAACATTATGTTTACTAGGCTCCCCCCTTCACCAAGTCCCCCCCACACACCCCATTACACTCACTGTCCATCAGCGTAGTAAGATGGTGTAGAATCACTACGTGTCTTCTCTGTGTTGCACAGCCCTCCCCATGCCCCCCCACATTATACATGCTAATCGTAAGGCCCCCTTGCTTTATCTATCCCTTCCCACCCATCCTCCCCAGTCCCTTTCCCTTTGGTAACTGTTAGTCCATTCTTGGGTTCTGTGATTGTGCTGCTGTTTGTTCCTTCAGTTTTTCTTTGTTCTTATACTCCACATATGAGTTAAATCATTTGGTACTTGTGTCTCTCCTCCTGGCTTATTTCACTGAGCATAATACCCTCTAGCTCCATCCATGTTGTTGCAAATGGTAGGATTTGTTTTTTTATGGCTGAATAATAATTCCATTGTGTATATGTACCACATCTTTATCCATTCTTCTACTGAAGGACACTTAGGTTGCTTCCATTTCTTGGCTATTGTAAATAGTGCTGCAATAAACATAGGGGTGCATCTGTCTTTTTCAAACTGGGCTGCTGCATTCTTAGGGTAAATTTGAATCTGTCAAATTTGTAAGCATTTCTTTTCTTCCAATTATTGTGTTTCCAGACAACGACGGGGCTTGATTCTGCAGTAGATCCTGTCCAGATGAAAAATGTCACCTTTGAACACATTAAAGTAGTAAGTTAGAAAGTTTCCCCTGCCCTCATCAAACATTATCTAATTGTGTATGGTCAATATTTGATTCCAAAGGTGTGAAATAATAGAAAACCAAATATTTATTGGTCTCTGCCCCCAGTTCCTGGCACAGAGCTCCTAAAACTCTTGCAATTTCCCAAGTGATAAGAGCACTAGGAGCATCTTTTGTTTTACTGTTTGGTCTTTGACCCTGATTCCTGACACAGGGTTTCTGAGTCCTTTGGAATTTCCTTGTTCTAATGGGTGTGACTCTTGGTGGGCTCCTGGGTGGGGGCTAGTCACTACCAGAAAGACCAAGTCATGGTTAGAAGTTTGGAACTTTCGGCCCCACTCCTGTTCTCCGGAGAGCCGGGAGGGGCTGGAAATGGGGTTAATAATCAGTCATTCCCACACAAAGAATCTCCCATAAAAATCCCACTGGTTGGGGAGTCTCCAGGTTCCCGAGCACATGGTGGTGTGAAGAGAGGAGCACGCCCAGAGATGCAGTGGAAGTCCTTCCTCTTGCCACATACCTGGCCTTGCGAATCTCCTCCACCGGCTACTCCTCAGGAACATCCTTTCATAGTAAACCAGTAGTCCAGGAGTTCTGTGAGCCACTCCATCAAATTAATGGAACATAGGAGGTGTCGTGGGAACCTCCAGCTTATAGCCAGTTGGTCAGGAACAGAGATAACACAGGCTCGTGATTGGCATCTGAGGTGGGGGATAGTCTTGTAGGACTGAGCCCTTAACCCTTCGCTGATAGGATCTGATTCTCTCTTCCAGGGGGATCGTGTCAGAACCGAATTGAACTGCAGGACGTCCTGCTGGCGTCTGAAGTGCTTGATTAGGGGAAAAACTAAAGCACGTTTGGTGACTGGAGCTAGTGTAGAGTGAGTCAAGGAAAACGAGTGTGTGTATTTCCTTTACATTAAGGAGTATTTTGCACTTAGGTAAAATGGCGTCCAAAAATATTTGAAACTTTAATACTCTGGGTAAATGAAGTAGCAGAAGATAAGTCTTGTTTCATGACAGGGCTTCGTGTCAGTTTGAAAGCAGCCAGGTGTAATGGAATGAATGTGGACTTCATGGTCAGTGGACTAAGATTTTTAAATTTGATTTTGAGGCATTGGCTTGAACAAGTTACTCCAGATTCTTACAGATTATGTATGTGCTTGGCACACAGTTGATGCACTGTAAATGGTACTTCTCTTCGCCCGTTCCTCTTAATTGATCTTTGTCCTCTGGTAACTAACCCAACTGTATTGAAAGAATAGAACGGATGAATGCCAGTTTATACCCAGTTAGCTGAACCATTTCTTTAATAAATATTTAATAGGGTCTACAAAGTGTCAGGCTCTGTTTTACATACTGGGTAGAATAAAACAAATCTCTGCCCTCATGTTTTAACTGTAATAGAAATTGGATAATATGGTATATATGGAAATAATAGAGAATGTTCAAAAATCGTAAAATGTTATGGGAAAAATATAGAGCAGGGTGAGGAGGATTGGGAGTTTTGTTAGAAAGGTCACAACTTGAAATGAGGTGTTCAGTGTGGTTGAGAAGGTGACATTTGAGTGAAGAGTTGAAGGTGGGGCGAGCCGTGCATGTGTGAGGAGAGAGCATGCCCGACCAGAGGAGAAGCGACAGCAAAGGCCCTGCAGAGCTGACGTGCCCGGCCTGCCCGCTGAGCGGTGGAAAGGCCGCCTCTGTGTGGATGGAGTGAACGAGGCAGGTGAGCAGAAGTCGTGGGAGATGAGGTCAGGGCGGTGCACGGGACCCGATTCATAGTGTCTTACAAGCCATTTTAAGACTTTGGCTTTTCCTTTGGTCAAGCGGTGCCCATTGAAGGATTCTGAGCAGAGGCAAGACATAAAATTTTAATGGGAACTGTGGCTGCTGTGTTGATAATCTTGAAGAAGGGACAAAGGTTGAAAATAGGCCATAACTGCAGTCCAGGCAAGAGGTGGTGGCTCAGGCTGACAGGAGAGCAGCAGAGTTCATGAGAAGTGGTTGGTTAGATTGTTAATACATATTTTGAAGGTAAACCGAACAAGGTTTCCTGACAGAAGAGAATGTAGGGCATGAGAAAGAAACAGGTGGCAAGAGTGACAAGAGTTTTAGCCCGAACAATTGGAAGAATGAAGTTGTCATTTACTGAGAAGAGAAAGGCTATGGATAGAGCAGATTTCAGGGACATAGATTAGGAAATAAACTCATGCCACTGTTAGATTTCTAGAAAGTTTCACAGAAATAATTCCAGGAAATACACGGTAGCTTAAAGGGTACGCAGGGTTTTTGTTAGGCTTGGAGCAGTCTTCGGAAGTTACTGTGATAAAATTATTGAAACTTAACTGAAATGTTTGTAAAATGAATGGTTAAAAGCAAACCGTGTCTACTCGTAGGTCCAGTATAAATTATTTAATTTATGCATGAGCTTACCTAGAGACATACACAGGAATATTGACAACAGCACTGTTTAAGCCAAAACTAGAAACAATCCAATGTCTACCTAACATAGAATAAACATACAGTATTGTGGCAGCCGTAGACTAAAATCCTATGCAGTGAGGGAGAATAACAACATGGGTAGATCTGACCAACATCACATTGGGTGAAAGAAGCCATACACACTACATGTATTGCATTTATATAAAATTCATAAACAGTCCAAACTGTTTAAATGTGGTGTTACAGCAGTGATTATCCTTGGGGTGGGTAGAGATGGGAACTAGAAGGAAGAACTGGGAAGGTTCTGGTAATGTTCTGTTTCTAGAGCTGGGTGCTGATAACGTACTTGGAGTTCACTCTGTGAAAGTTATTGAGGTATCCATTTATGAGTTTTGCATTTTTATGTGAATGTTAAGCTTCTTTAAAATTTATGTTTAAAAAAAGATTTGGCTGCATTATTGCAATAATTTGTTTAAATATTCAGAGGTATCCATATACTAAAAGAAGACCAAAATATTTAGTCAAAGTAATGGATAACCTTAAATTGCAGGAGAAAAGGAAAACAGATTGAACATCATCTACTCAAATTATTTTCTCTCCCAAATCTCTGTGGCAAGAGAATTCCCAGTTGAGGAATTTATATAAAATCTGTGGAGGAAAATAGGGCTAAGGGATCAAGGCAATGAATGAAGTTGTAAAAACCCTTATTAATATTTTTATAGAAGCTATATATAAATAACTAGAAATTCTGGGCAAGGAAGACATTGCTATACAGACTCTTTTAAGACTTGGTCCAGCTGATCATAGACACTACCTGTGGCACAACTGTCATGGCATATCTACTGAACTACTTTGGTCCATGTAAATTTAGATTTTATGGCAATTACAACACTTAACCCATATTAACTAAACTTGGTGATCTACCTTGTTATGTCTTCTAATGTTTACTATCAGCATGTCTTCAGCTTTTACTCGGACATGACCTCATACCAAAATAAAGTGTATTTAGTAATTATGTACATTGCAGGGAGAAAGTAAGAATCAATTTTGCAAGATTTTATATTATAGTGTTGGGATTATAGCTTCTAAACTTCTTTGACACAGCTATTTACAAAATGACATTCAGTAAAGTATAGTTTGGTTTTAGTCACTGCCCTTTGTCATTTGTTAGGAACTAAATCATGTATAATTTTGTAGTCATTTCTTATAAAAAATATAATATCATAATCACAAATTCATGTTACAACTTAAACACAGACCTCCTTATCCTTAAATATATAGTAAGTCCACATAATTTGTCCTTGAAGCTTATCACCAGGTCCAAACAAATCCTGGATTTGAAACTTTCTAGGTGATTATTTTTGCTTATGTTAAATACCACTGGCACATTTAACTAGAATTTTCAACATAACAGTCCTAGTTAACTGGAGGGAGTATTGACAATGGAAGAGATTAAAAATGGTTTTTGTTCGATATGTAAGGAGACTTTGTATAACTGGCAAAAAGTGTCAGGAGAAACCTCTGTGTGTGTGTGTGTGTGTGTGTGTGTATTTATTTATAAGGGAGCCTTTTTGTATACTTCTTTCACTGAATGAAGAGCCACATTAATATTCACTTAAATTGATGATTTCCAAAGAGGCTATCTTGATAATCTAATCATTATCTGAAAAATATTTGAAAAATAAATTGTGTAACTTTAGGTGGAGGAAGCTAAACAAGAACTACAGGAAGTTGTTGAATTCTTGAAAAACCCTCAAAAATTTACTGTGCTTGGAGGTAAACTTCCAAAAGGTAAGATATCTTCCCTTGACCCAGACTTACCAAAAAATAGTGTAATATATTACTAACTTAATTTTTATCAAATTTGACTGACCAAAGTTTAGTTCTTAATTTTGCTGTCTTACAAATAAGTGCTCATTCTGAACATACTGTTCTATAACCACCTTTGGGGGAGTAATTTAAATTTTGTTATAATTTCAGTCTTTATAGTTGTAAGAATAGTAGAGAACACTCTTCCATACTCCATTTTGTCCCATTTGCTCATTCCCTTTACATAGGCACTTTTTTTAAAACCATTTGGGAGTAAATTGTAGATGCAATACTCCTTTATCCCTAAATATCCCATTGTGTATTTCCCAAGAATAAGGAAAAAATCTCTCTACCTAATTTACATGCATGTTCTCTTTAACATAACATATTAAAATCAGGAAATTTAACATGAATCTGAAACTATTGTACAATTCACTGTCATTCAAATTTCAGCATTTTTTCCAATAATAGCCTCTGTAGCGAATTGCCCCACCCCTCACCCCAGGTTCATATGAATGCAGGTTCACACATTACATTGATAATTTAATCTGAAAAAATTCTTCAGCCTTTTTTTTTGCAGGGTGGTGGGGGAGCTGATCTTTTATTTGAAAAATTGTGTAGAGTACATGCTCATTTGTAGAACGTTCCTCACTTTGGCTCTTTCTCTGCTGTTTTCTCACAGTTACTCAATATGGGTTTTAATGACTGTGATATTGTGATTTATAATAAATATATATTTGGTAGTTCCCATTTCTTAGAATTTCATAGTCATGAAAGCAGTAGTTGTCTCTTGTTCTGTTGATGAGGTGACTTTCTGAACATACGGAAAGATGAGGGCCGGTTGCCCAAAGCAGCAGCCGTGTGGGGTCACAGGGTTGGAACTTTCAGTTTCATCCGCCCACCCCACCCCCACCTCTGGAGGGAAGAGGGGCTGGAAGTTGCATCAGTCACCAATGTCCAGTGATTTGATCAAGCACACCTATGAAGTGAGGCCTCCATTAAAACCCCACAAAGATGGAGTTTGGAGAGCTTCCAGGTCGGTGGACATGTGGAATTCGGTGAGAGTGGTGCACTCAGAAGAGGGCATGGAACCCCCTCATCCCTACCCTGTACTTTGCCCTTTGCATTGCCTCCATCTGGTTGTTCCTGAGTTATATCATTTTAAAATCATTTTAAACCAGTTATTGATCAAGTAAAACGTTCCTCTGGGTTCTGTGAACTAAGTGCTCTAGCAAATTAATCAAACCCAAGAAGGTCGCTGGGACCCCCAACCTGTAGCTGGCCAGTCAGAAGCACAGCTAACAGCCTGTGACTGGTGACTCGGGTTGGGGGCAGTGATAGGGGAAGGGACATTGCTGTAGATCTGAGCCTGTGGTTTGTGGGATCTGATGCTGTCTCCAGGTAGGTAGTGCAGAATTGAATTGTAGATACCCAGCTGGTGTCAGAATAGCTTCTTGGTGTGAGGGAAAACTCCACTTAGTGGAATTGGGTGCAGAATTGTAATGGCTCTGGGATGTCCTGTGTGATATTACACTTGATCTAACTATTTATATTGAGCTTTAAATGTTTCCAAGCTTTTGCTATTAAAATTAGCACTGTGATGATCATGCTAGTATCTCAAGACATTGTTCACATTCTTATTTGCTTAGAATAAGTTCTAGATTATTCATTTGTTATACATTTATTATTCTAGATTCAGTCCCATGCTTGGAGTTGGGGAGTTAAAGGGGGTGCTCTTATGTAAGTCTTCTTTTTATTTTGCTCAGTATCTCTACTGAGGATATTCAGCAGTGTATAAAAATGTTGGCATGCATCTTTGCTAATTTAGGGCTCATTTATTAAATCAATACAATAACATCATAGAAAGTATGATTAAAACTATAGAATGGTTGCATTCTTTCCAGTCACAAGGAATATTTTATAAATTTGTGGGAAAATCCTCAGGTACCAAGATAAAAACCAGATAAATTGATATAAAGATGATTTAAACCAGTTAGAGATCACATGGCAATAGTATTAAGGGTATTTTGGAGCTTTCCTGAAAAAAAGTTTATGTTAAAATATAGCACTAATACAGTTTTGTTGCTTTTTAAATGTCATCTTCAGAGTGAAAAAACTTTGTAAACCAAAGAATTCTGTCATTCCAACTTATGAAAAACTTAGTGTGAAAAATTTTATTTTTATTTTGGTATATTAATCTACAGTTACATGAGGAACATTATGTTTACTAGACTCCCCCCTTCACCATGTCCCTCCCACATACCCCATTAATCACTGTGCGTCAATGTAGTAAGATGCTGTAAAATCACTACCTGTCTTCTCTGTGTTGCACAGCCCTCCCCCTGCCCACCCCCACACTATACATGCTAATCGTAAGGCCCCCTTTCTCCCTCCCTTCCCACTGATCCTCCCCAGTCCCTTTCCCTTTGGTAACCATTAGTCCATTCTTGGGTTCTGTGA